CCCTGGATAATATCAGGGACACGAGGATTTGTAGTCCAACAACATCAGGGAGCACATGCATGTTCTACTCCAAGCAGTGGCCCAGAAACATTTTGGGACTACCAAGAATACTTTACCAAGCTTGGAATAGTCCATACATTGGCTTTTTAAAGCAAGGTAGAAAAGAAAATAACATTGCTTGACTGCCTTCTAACCCATTTCAGTAAGTTGCTCAACCCCCGAATCCTCAAACTTTCACCCCTTCCCACTCCAAAGATCTCCAATATTCAACCCTCCCCATTTCAGAGTGAACAAGACCCAGTGGAGATGGAGAGTGGGGACTTTTGCCCGGTCCTAGCTGACTATTCCAGATGAAATCTCTTTCCTAAAGCTGTAATCCTAAACATACATACCATGGAATAAACCATACTCAACATAGTGGAATTTAATTCCAAGCTAAATTCCATAGCATTTCACCATACATGAATCAAAATATTTTAGAATGGGAAGTGGATAACTTTTCTTAATTTATTAAAGAAAAAATTCACTAGAGAGTTGAAGAAAAATTTCCGGTACTTTTTCAGGTTGGTTGAAATGCATTGATAATCAGGGCATATAACGATGCACCTTCATTCTGGGACAGCAGTTTAATTTTACTCATAAAATATAAAAGACAATAAAGTATGGAGGTCAGCAGTGCTTCGCTTTAGGAAATACTATCATTATGATTTAAATATCAGACATAAGTTAACTCAAAATCAATATTTGAAGCTTGTACTGTATTTAAATTACAGTGCTGAAAAGTACATTAAAAATTTAATGGTAAAAAAAGCCTGACACCTCTTATGAAACCAAAAAGGGATTCAGGAAATAAACAATGTATACCTTCCAAATACGTTTTTTAAAAAATTTCAGCTGTGCCCTTTGGGTACATTCCATGATGCAATAGATTACTAAAGAATATGGTTCTCATTTCCCATTTGTAAGAAAACTGATATAAAATTCAGCAGCCCTGATTAGCACAGCAACTTGAATGAGAATGTGCTTTCCCTTCTACATCAATCCAGCAATTCCAGTGTGACTCAGCAGGGCTGGCCCTACCATTAGACAGAGTAAGGCAGCTGCCTCAGGTGGCAGATGCTGGTGGGCAGGAAGTGGTGGCGAGATGTTGGATGATAGAGGAGTCTGTGCCAGATGGCTGCCCTGCACCTCCTAAGCGAGCCTGCTGGCCTCAGGTGTCATAAAGAATACTGCCCTGTGGTCTAATTGGCTTCTATATATGGAACTGGTGTCTTGTCCTTTGCCTCAGACAGCCCTGGGAATCAAGAGTACAAGGAAGCAGGTGCAGGTGAACATCCAGTGCAAGCTATAATATATTATAATGCTTACCCATGCCAGCTTTTGTCCTAAATGATATCTCCCCCCAGTGCCTTTTTTTTCTTTTTTTAAGGAAAAATGGTGCTGGTGCTCACCAGGAAATTGTTACAGTAAGTGCCACACTTTTTTAATGGGGGGGGGTTGCCAGTACTGTGTACCCTTAAGTACCCCTGGGGAAAAAGCACTGTATCTCCCCCAAAGTGGGTCACAAATGATAAAATAAAATAGATTCCTTTTTTCTGATATTAATGTTACAATTAATACACAGGTGTGAGAGATACAACAAAGTTAGGACTGCAAATCAAGTATTCTGTAGGTTTCCTTAGAGTGTCATGAAGTGTCACCAGGCTTAGGATTTGAGTGGCTGGCTGAGACAAACAAGGGGTGGGGGGTAGAAGATGGTAGTGTTGGTTCAAGGGGGAAAGGGCATATAGAAAAGAGAATTCCCTGTATGCAGAGTTCCAATTTCCGAGCTTCGGTGAAATAACCCTAGCAGAAATTTTAAATCACAAAACATGCAGCAAAGTGTGGAAATATAGGTTGTTAGACGTTTCAAATGTGCCCTTGTGGGTTCCAAAACTTTTCCATACAGCATTCAGAAAAAGTTGCACAGGCAGTTAAACTTGGCTTCAAATATCTAAATAACTGTCTTGTGGAAGATGGAGCGAGCTTGTGTTCTCTTGTTCTGGAGGAAAGGCTCCAAACCAATGGCTGCAAGTTACAAGAAAAGAGATTCCGACGAAACATCAGGAATAACTCTGGCAGTGAGAGCTGTTCAACAATGGAATGGACTCTCTCAGAATGTGGTGGACTCTCCTTCCTTGGAGGTTTTTAAGCAGAGGCTGGATGGCCATCTATCACGAATGCTTTAGTTGAGATTCCTGCATTGAAAGGATTGGACTAGATGACCCTTGAGGTCCCTTCCAACTCCACAATTCTATGACTCCTTCATGTGTTAATTAGACTGAAGCATGTTGGTGATATGAGGTTGGTTATCCCACAGGTTGGGAGTGGCTGAAATCAGGGAACAGTTTGTAATTCCCCTTCCCAGGATATAGCTGTCCCAGCTGGTGAAACAGGACTCTCATCTCCCCTCTTGCCTTCCAGTGAAAGGAGCAGAGTAATGGAATATGGGGAGGGTATCAGCCAACTGCTAGGGATGGAGAAACTAGAGTAAGAATGGGACACAGTGCCATGCCCATCACTGGCAGCAGAGGCATCTTCTCGAATGCCACAAGCACCTGCACACTCAACAGTCCCATAAGGCATGAGGAGGAGGAGGGGAGGAGGAGGAGGAGTTTGGATTTGATATTCTGCTTTATCAATACCCTAAGGAGTCTCAAAGCGGCTAACAATCTCCTTTTCCCTTCCTCCCCCACAACAAACACTGTGATGGCCTGGGAATCCGATTCAGAGGCTGAACTGGAGGAATCTCAGCCTGCACAGGAGTCCCCACCTCCAGGGCCGGCTGAACTGGGTCAGGGCCTTGATTCTGAAGTGCCTGCACCTGTGCCGGATCCTCAGGAGCAGGCACCAGGTGAATCCACTCTGGCTCTGGAGGTGGTTGAGGACTCAGTGCCTACAGGTGAGTCTCCCCCTGGGTCAGTAACCCTTCAGCCTCTCCTGAACTGCAGAGGTTCAGGGCAGAGAGGCAGAGGGAACTGGTTTCTCCCAGGAGGAGTGCTCGCCTTAAGGCCAGGAGAGGCGGGTCACCTGGGGGCCGGGACCGCCCCTGGCCTCAGAGAAGATAGAGGCCAGTCAGCCCGGTACCAGGTTGCGGGAGCAACGTCGTTGAAGAGCTGTTTCGGCCAGCATCCAGTCCTGTTCCCCCAGAGTTCCTGTCATGTCCGGCTTCTCACTGTGGACCCCGCTTCACCCGAGGAGGACTGTCTGCCGACCCTCGACTCAGGTCCTGGACCTCGCCCCATGGTAACCTCCCCCCTGGACCAGCACAAACACTCTGTGAGGTGAGTGAGGCTGAGAGACTTCAGAGAAGTGTGACTAGCCCAAGGTCACCCAGCAGCTGCATGTGGAGGAGTGGGGCCATGAACCCGGTTCACCAGATTACAAGTCCACCGCTCTTAACCACTACACCATGCTGGCTCTCTTGCAAGTAAGCTAGCCTTGCCCTGTCTTTAAAAGCTCGATGGGTTGTTGTGCCAACTTGTTGGGACAACTCCATTGTTTCCTTGCTGTTCTTTTCTCCTTGCCCCGATCTTGAACTCCTTAAACTTGGGCTGCTGCTTTTAGCCTGGCTAGCATCACTCCTCCTGTCATCTGGTCTCAGCACAGCAGCTATGAGCAATAGCAACTTTCAAGTAAGAAACTCTTTTGGCATGGTCTGGATGGGAGCCAAAACAGAGAGTTTGGGAGCACAAGGAACACATGAAATGGGAGTAACAGCCTTGAATCTTCTAGTAAGCCCTTCTTGTGCTCCCTTGCAGTCACCTCTGTTCTCTGTGTGCATGCAAGGCTGCTTCTCTTTCTGGATCTGTTATGTTGGTTTTTGTGTGGGAAAATTCTTCGATTTCCTGGATGGTTTTAGAATGTGTTTGGTAGCTACTCACTTTCCTGAATGGATAATTTTGGTGGTGCAAACATAAAGTCTTCATGCTGTTCATGAAGTAGTAGTTACACCTTCTGCAGTTGCCAGGTTTGAAATTATAAGTGAGCAAACATATCAGTATGGTGCCTAAATGAACCAGGCCTGCTTGGATTGTTCAGTAATCTTTGAAGATGAACTGAGGCAGCAATCTGTACCTCCACCTGCTGGGGAGTTTCAGAATTGTTAATAGGACTTAAATAACACTTCAGGCTATGTTTACGTTTGTTTAAGGAATATGCCATGGGAAAGGCAAAATAAGTGATCCCTGCCATTGTTCAGGATTTTGAGCTACACTTTGCAGGGTCTGTTAAAATATATCCACATATTTGACTTCAGCCACCCCCATGGATACTGCTCAGTAACTGGGTATAGGCAAAACTATCATTTTCTGTGTCTCTCAGATTCTCTTTTTTCCAGTCTTAAATGCTGTTCTCACACAAACAGTGATTTTTTACAGTCCTCCTCACCATTTCTTCAAATATACACATTTTTGTATGTAAATTTGCCCAATATACATACATTTTTGCAAGGCCATTTCCCCTGATTAATGCATTTATGTATGTTAACTTCACCAATGTATGCATTTTTAAGCACACTTTACCCTCACTAATGCATTGCCCCAATAGTTTCAATGATCTGGGCACAGTCCCTTGAAATATAGTCATGATTCTCACACCAAAATGAGTGGGACAGAAATTACTTCTGACTAAATCCCATTCCATTGCTTTCAGTGCATTGCTTTTGCTAGATGGCACCTTAATGCTATTTCATCCGTTATTTCCGTTCATCAAAACCTATACTATTATATTTTTGTTGGACTATAAATTCAAAAGTCCCCACTTCTAAACCTCCCCTAGGAAGCAATTTCTAGTGCTGTGTTTTCTTGACCATGTGCTTCAAATATTGACCTTTACTGGCCAGATGACTCATCATCCTTAGATTAGTAGCCTCAATGTTATAAAGGAATGGTGCTCTTTTCTTACTTTTCCTTTTTTTTAACCAAAAGATTCTTTGCTGTTGTAAGGATAAAAACTTTCTAACATAAAGCATCATTTATCAGCTTTTGATATCTCAACAGTAGGTTAGAGAACGACAAGTGCCACAGGGGGGAAAAGGATACAACATATTAAAAGAACTGTTGGTCATAGACATCTCCATGCCAAGACAAAGGGGTAGTGGGCTCTTATCTGAAAGATGTTGTTTGCAGATTATGCAGCCTTGACAGTACATTCTGAGGAAGCTCTACAGAGATTCATCAACTGTTTTGCCCAAGCCTGCATGGAATCCGGCCTCATCAGCCTGACGCAGACCAACATCCTGGGTCAGAGCATCACCAACACATCAGCACTGGTGACCACACTCTTGAAGTGGTACACAATTTTGTCTACCTGGGCTCCACCATAACCAGCAACCTTTCCATCAATGCTGAGCTGGACAAGCGTATTGGCAAGGCAGCTATGGCAATGGCTCACCTCTCCAAAAGGGTATGGGAGAATGTGATGCTGAAGTCCAATACCAAGGTAACGTTCTACCAGGCTTTCATGCTGAGCACACTGCTTTATGGAAGTGAGTCATAGGCAACTGACACCCACTAGGATGTCCTCTCCCAAGTCCACATTTCTAGCATCTTCCCATTCCTGTCTGGGCGACGTCTATGCTGTTTTGGTCGTGTACATACAACAGAAGATTGCAGGATCCCCAGGGATGTGCTCTACAGGGAGCTGGCTTCAGGCACCAGGCCCATTGGCAGACCACGTCTGTGTTATAAAGATGTCTGCAAACGTTGCATGAAGGCTGGCAACATCAACCCTGTTGTGTGAGGATCCCTTGGAGTCAACTGCAGCATATGCGTATAGAAAACAATCCAGCCCAAAATAACACCCAAAGATGTAAACAATAAACAATTTTAAATTATTTCCTTTCTTTAAAAAGTAAGCACATCATACATACATACACACAGAGAGAGAGACATTTTATAGGCAACCATTCTAAACAAATGGCATCCACGGCAGGACAAAACAGATGTCACTATCAGAATTGCACTTGAGCGCTACCATATTCCCACAAATACAGTCTATTTTATCCATAGCCACTGCATAAAATAGGAGCCTTGGATGAAGGGCCCAACCACTCAACACTGGTGCAAACACCAACAGATCTGTTGTATTGCTGGTGTCCACAGCAAGCCCACACAGGGATAGCGTTCTATGGAGAAGATAAAAGCAAAATAATCAGTGGGTTCAATTGGACTTCTTCCGTAGTATTTCAATGCACTGCTTGGAAGAAATGCAAAAATGAATGAATGAATGGAGCCCTAAAACAAATAAAGGATCTACTGCAGTGGCATATGCTGGGTTCACATGTATCACAAAAGCAATTCACAGGAAAACATACATTTATGATCTTTGGCTCATCAACATACCGTAACGCAGACCTTCTTTCAAGAATCACTTTATTTCTGACAAATGTTTATATTTTCTATTTACTATCAGTTCCCCGCCCCCTCTCAAGCGAACATACATTTATTCCATGTACAATGAAGACGCTCAAGGCAACATTACCAAAATTGTAGCCATGGGATGTTCAGAGGAGAAAAAGGAAAACATCATGATGCACAGGTCCTGCTGTGCATAACAGCAATCACATTCCTTCATAATCACTGATTGATGGGATTTAGCAGATAAGCAGTGGAATCTGAAGAGTAACAAATAACAAATTCTATACATAACAAGTGCAGTGTTTTATTGCCTATTGTGCAGAAGCTATCTGTTTATGATTTGTGGTGTTGCTGCTTTTTGCCATCTCCTGTTTAAATAATAAATAGAAGAGAAACTTCATTGTACAGCAAAAAGTTATTTTAAGAAATCCTGCCTTTCAGCTTGCTTAATCTATTAAGACAAGCTGATGCCATCAAGATCTTGGCGTATTGTCACAGGTTTTAATAAGAACTCATTCCTTACTATTCATCACTATTTTAACCTCTCCATTCATCTACTTTGAGGTTAGAATGCTCCCAAAGTTACTTCGGAAAAGCTGCAGAGAGATAGCAGCTTTACATAGATTAACGGCTTGGCAGCCTAACAACCAAATTGCTCTCATTGGCAATGGAAGAAACAGACTGAGGAGATGTTAGGCATATATATTGCACACACCTTGGTCCATTGTGTGTCTGTGTGTATGAATACATGTTCTACAATTTGACATTATAATGTAGAAGGAACGTATTTGCTAAAGGAACACAGTTGGGGGGTGTCATCCTCACTTAAATGACCAGCAGCAAGATTATGTCATTCATTTTATGAAAACACTTGCATCTGCATAGGACGTAGAATCCATGTCATAATAATCTTCCAGTTTCCAATGCAACGTTTCAAAGGTGGGTCGTTCTTTGGGCTCAACATTCCAGCATTGCAGCATGATGTTATACAGCTCTTGGGGACAGTTTTCTGGTTGAGGGATTCTGTACCCTTGATCCAGTTTCTGGAGTACTTGAACGCCTGTCAAACCTAAAACAGAATGGTTTTCAATAATACATGATGATGATGATGATGATGAAACTAAAGCATGTATAAAGTGATAGTTCATACAGAGAATTCTCTGTGGTGATTCTACAAGCATCATCAGTCTATAATGCATTCTCTTATAGGAGCCTCCACTTAATTCTTTTTAATCTATGTGTGAACCTAGAATCAGCATCTTTAACTCCCTTCCTTCCTTCCTTCCTTCCTAGCACATTAGCCTAGGTGCACAGCCAGTTGGCTAAGAGATCACAGAAAACTGAATTGGTTCCAGCTAAGCAAAATCATGGAAGACTGGATCCTTCAGTTCAGTGGGGCAGGGGACTAGAAAGACCCACCAAGGGTCTTTGCAATTACTGCTTTTGAACAGAGCACTCACCTGAATAAGGCATCTTTCCATATGTGGTTATTTCAAACAGGAGTATTCCAAATGACCAGACATCAGATTTGATGCTAAACTTATTGGAGCGGATTGCTTCAGGAGCAGTCCATTTCACAGGCAGTTTTGTTTCATGTTTGGCTTCGTACACATTTTCATTTCCTAGCTATCATATGCAAACAACAACAACAACAATTTCAGAATATAAACAGTGAATTTATAGGATTAGATGGTTTCAACAGCTGCCTGTGTAGCAGGTAGGTACTTTCGGGGGGGCGATGTTTGGTTCTATATACATTTTGTTTTGCATAGAAGACAAGGGAGCTTGAAATTTGAAATGGATTCAAACACATCCTTCAATTTCCTAATGAAAAGACACCCTTCAATTTCCCTATGCCTTTTTGTGATGCCTAAGAACTACAATTGAAGCACTTTCCCTCAAAGAAATCACCACTGCTGGTGTTAAGGTTGCGTAAGTCACAATATATTCTCACCCCCACATAACGAAAGGAGTAAGACTAACTGTACAGTTCCTCAAAAAAATACACAGGGAAATGGGATGGGATTGGAAGCAATCAAAATGGCACAAGAATGTGGGAAAAGGAATACTGGGGCAAAAATTGCAGTATTTAGCAGCCATACAGTGGTTTAAGTTCTAGGAACAGCAAAAAAAAATGGAGGGATTAAAAATATGCATGGATGGAGCTGTGCCCATCAAATGGGAGATGGAAAAGATCTTCAAGATAGAAAATAGGAATGAATGGAAGGATGGAGAATCTGGCAAACTGGTATATATGCTATAGGGGGACTAGGCCCATGACTGGCACTACTTGAGGTAAGTGAGGATGGTCACGGTGACAGTAAAAGCTTTTTTGGTCTTGGCTGCAATTTATATTTTTAAAAAACCTGTTGTTTGGGTTCTAAGAAAACAGACTTTGAATGGGGGGGAGTAGCCAGCTGTAAGCAGGGGGAGGGGATGGATAACATTAGTTTCATGAACTTCAATAATAATAATAATAATAATAATAATAATATTTTATTTATACCCCACCCATGTGGCTAGGTTTCCTCAGACACTCTTGGGAAGTTAACCTATCTTATGATTCAAGCTGAAACAACAGACTTACATGGACACCATGATCCCCCCCATCCCTTCCAGCTACCTGCGCACTTTCCAAACCAATTCCAGAAGGTGATGGGGAGTCCCCACTGTGGAACCATGCATGCAGAGTGCTGGATACAACCCAATAAATAGCATTTTCCTTCTTTTCAAAAGCTGTTGTCTCCTTTTTAGGGCTCCATGGAGAGTACAGGTTATAAACCTCATATTAATTATCACAAAATTGTTCATTCATTGTTAACCACAATGTCAAAAATCAATGGGATTTTAAAGATGTGCCTTGCCAGCCAGAGCTAGGGAGACAGAATTTTTCATTCATTCATTCATTCCTTGGCCTTGTTTTGCCAAGCATACATGCGATATTGAAACGCCCGTCATTAATTGGGGCCTACCACTGAGAATCCTGAATTTGGCAATGACAGCAGCACAAGCCTCCCGCTGGCACCAGAGGCACAGGACTCATGTCTGGCCTTCCGTGAGAAGACAAGGCGACAGCAAGAGCTAATGCATTCAGGAACCTTTGTTTTGTGATTAATTGCTGGCACCAAAGGGCCATTGACTTTGATAATCATCACTTAAACAGTTCCAGGACTAAAAATACGGACTGTGAGAGATTTAAATTAATATATTGGTTCAGAGTGGCACCGATTAATTTAGGCAAAGTAAGCTGACAGGCATCGGAGAATAAATGGAAAATTGTTTACTTGTAATTGAGGTTTTCAGGGGTTAGTCTCTTTCCTTCCTGAGACCTGTTTTCTAAGACTTTTATTGCTTGAGACTTGGGAAAGATTTAAATTAATATATTGGTTCAGAGTGGCACCAATTAATTTAGGCAAAGCAAGCTGACAGGCATTGGAGAATAAATGGAGAATTGTTTACTTGTAATTGAGGTTTTCAGAGGTTAGTCTGTTTCCTTCCTGAGACCCATTTTCTAAGACTTTTATTGCTTGAGAGTTGGGAGAACATTAGGATGCTTCTCAATTTTTAAATGAAGACTGCAGGTGCTGCTGCAAACAGCATGTCTTTATTTCATTTTCTTGATCTCCAGGACCAATTTTTTTAAAAAACACAGAGCAAAGGAAGAGTATACTTATCCCCAGATTTTAAAAAAGAAAAGAACTCCCATGTTACTGTTATTATCATTTCATTCACAGGCTACTCTTCATTATAATAAAAAAAATCACAGAGTGATTCACAAGTAATAATATAAGATATACAATGACAAACAAATAATATAAAACAACAGCACCCCCCAAAAAAACTATCACTTAAACACAAAACAACATTAAGATAATACATTCAAATAGGCCGTTCAACAAATCAGGGGTTCTCAAAGACCTAGTTCAAATTAACAGCATCATGACTAACCATGGAGCAGGATAAAGAAGTGTGACTGAAGTAAATTGTGAAATTGTACTACAGTGGTGCCTCGCAAGACGAAATTAATTCGTTCCACGAGTTTTGTCGTCTTGCGATTTTTTCGTCTTGCGAAGCACGGTGTCGGGAAAGTTTTGGAAAAGCTTCAAAAATCACCAAAGTCTTTAAAAACCCAAAAAAGGCTACCACACCGCGTTCTATGAGTTGCTCCTCGAAGTCAAGTCGCAACTGTATTAACGGTGTTAAGAAAAGGAAACAAACTTGCAAGACGTTTCTGTCTTGCGAAGCAAGCCCATAGGGAAAATCGTCTTGCAAAGCAGCTCAAAAAACAAAAAACCCTTTCGTCTAGCGAGTTTTTTGTCTTGCGAGGCATTCGTCCTGCGAGGTACCACTGTACAGCCTACCTTGAAAACTCGTGCAAGTCCAAAATCTGCCACTTTGTAAACATTGTGATCACCGACAAGGACATTTCTGGCTGCCAAGTCACGGTGAATGTAGTTCTGAGATTCAAGATAAGCCATTCCTGAGGCAACCTGAGCAGCCATGTCCACCTGTTGTGGCAAACGGATCCTGGCTCCTGCATCATCTGTGAATAAATTGTAAGCTGATTATGCATGCACATATGTATATACATGTTATGTATATACAAGGCCTGAGACAGCTAGTCAGCAGGGACGGCAATGTGATTTTGGAAAACAAAGTCAAGGATTGTATTAGTGCTACTTTGGAAAGCTTTTCAACACTTTCCCCCATTATCCATCAAATATAGAGAAAAGATTTGCATTCTAAAATTAGCACAGGAGAGAGAAGACGACAGTGAAATTCTCATGGATGTGATGCTGGGTTTTTATTGTATTTACTCTACTTTTGTTTTAGATTTAATATGTATATCTCACTTTTCTATTGCAATTACAATGCAGCATATACAGTATAATATTGGCTATACAAAATGCAAAATTTCATATGGAATATAATAACATCAGGAGCAAGTATATTCCACCTGCTGTTCCTCATGCTATCCTCAATGAAACATAGGCTCCAGGACTCTGACTCAGATCCCCCCAGATACTATCCTTCCCCTGGTATGTGCCCAAAGGCAGCCACTCAAGGCCCTAGTCCCACACATTTAGAGTCTCCCTTGCCACATCTGTCAAACAAAGAAAAAAAATCATTCCCTAGAATGCCAATTTTCTATCATTTCTCTCTGGCAGGCACAAGCAGCGCACTGCAAGACCAAATGAGGAAACTGACAACCTTAACATCGCTTGTGGAAACCACAAGCCTTGTCCCAATGAAATAAATAACACTTGCTTGTGAATAAGCATGGATAGGACTGTGCTGCTCAACAACTGTTAAGATTTATCTTCAAGTCTAGATGAAACATTACAAACACCGTATTATGTAAGGCAAGGTCTCCATAGCGAACAGAAACCTGCATAGGCTCTCCTTGACAACCATTACCTAATTGAGAGTATTTGTCCTATTGTAACAAGAATCTGAAATATCTATCATTGTGTCTTTCTTATGGCAATTTTATTTCACCTTGAAATGCAACTTACTCTTTGCTATACATTCTGCACACTGCAGAAGCAACTTTTCCTCTGTAGCTTTTCCATCAATAACTGTTTGCACATCCACAAAGTAGTGATGTTTCATGTATTTACTTTCGGCCCAGCCTACAGATCTCATGAGAAAATTGTCTGCTTCATAGTATTGCTTATGTGATTTAAAGGTTTGGGCTTTTAAATGGGCTCTCAGGATGTGCACGCACTGCTGCGGCATTACTCGTCTCTGAGCATGAAAGTTAGATTTCCCTGAAAGTCATACAACGGGATGGCAATTTAGCAGGGCTGCATTTTACTTCCGTTATCACATGGATCCACATGAGGAGACTTACGGTAAATGAAAAGTTCATCTTCGTGAGAAAATACATTGTCTGGAAATTCTTGAGTTTCTTCAGTATACGTAAAGGTAAAGGGACCCCTGACCATTAGGTCCAGTCATGACCGACTCTGGGGTTGCGGCGCTCATATCGCTTTATTGGCCAAGGGAGCCGGTGTACAGCTTCCAGGTCATGTGGCCAGCATGAACTGCTAGGTTGGCAGGAGCTGGGACCGAGCAACGGGAGCTCACCCCATCGTGGGGATTCGAACCGCCATCCTTCTGATCGGTAAGTCCTAGGCTCTGTGGTTTAACCCACAGCGCCACCCGCGTCCCTTCTTCAGTATACATGGGACAAAATTGTAATGGGGGCAATGGAATATAATTGCCCCACAGATTCAAAAAGTGTCACCTGGTTCAAGTTGGTCCTGGAAATTTCGGTCTGGTTTGAAATGCTGCAAGCCCCATTCCCACTTGCTAGCTTCCCTCTCTGGCTAGTTATGTCCACATCCCCAAGCAAATCCCCCCATTACTTGCATTTAAGAAGGGAGAAGGAATAACCAGAACTTACTTCACAAAGAAAAGGACTCGGCGTACATGAAGCTATGCTTCTGGCCATTTGCAGAAGTATAATTTCTTGCCAAGCATTATAGTACAGTACCTGAATCAGAACTAGGTCCCAAGGAGCATAAAATGTGAAGTTTTTTTATCTGCTTCTCAGCTCAGTTCAGAAGGCACAGAAAGCTGCAGATGCTACTAGCATGTCTATGAGCATCATTACTAGTTAAGGACAGGTCCCCCAAGGCCTCTCCTTTGTCCTTGTGGCTACCCCTGAATTTTAGAGAACCAGGCTTCCAAAATGGTTGCAGGGCCTCCATAAACTCAGAAGGCTTTCCACTTTGCACAGTCACCCTCCATATGTCGGAGGACAATGGAAACAATTGTTTTTTGGGGGGGGATTGAGCTTGCACACCCCATGCTGCCACCCCGTGCATTTTCTCTACACATGAACTTTAAGTCCTAAAAGGCAATGTTTTATAGAGACTACTATTATGTCTAATCCAAATTCTGAAAGAACAGCGTCAGAACTGCTCCTGAGCACATCTATTCACGGGCTATTTGTCTTTGTTTTTATCTTTTGTTTGTACAGTGACTCTCCTGTAATTTTCAAGGCAACCACACGTCTCTTATGAAGACAACACACCTCTCTGACAGGACAGACAAGCGTAGAAGACCTTGATATCTAAAATATGAGCTGACAAGGCCCAAGCATACTTAAAAGTTACATGCTTTGATTTGGAAGCCTTCATGCCTAATCACAGGTGTGGAGGGGCTAGTTATGCTATCTCGGTGACAAGGAAAGAACACACCGTAATACAGATACTTTCACAGCACTGTTTGACAAACAGTTCAAACAATATGACTCACAAGGGTGCACCATCCAAAACCTTTTAAACACAGCATGAAGAAAAGGCTTCACTCTCATCACCTCTTTCCATGTGATGACTCTTTCCATGTGATGAAAACAACTTTTTCCACAAATGCACATTCAAGTGATAGGCCGAAGTATTGTGCAAACAGTGATGTGAGAACTGGACTCAAGACCAGGAAGATCTGGATTCAAATCCCTGCTTAATTCTTAGAATTTCTTCATCTAAACTATCTTAGGGGTGTTGTGGGAATAGAATATATATAAACAGAAATACAGAAATGTGGATAAGAAATAAAATGAAAAGTCCAAATCGGTCATTACACTTGCCTTTGAAAACTACCCCACAGATCATTTCCTGTTAATCTATTTTAAATCTGCTACATGTTAAGGAAAAGTAGTAAATTAATCAGTACTTAAACCTGCATGCGGGGATGCGGGTGGCGCTGTGGGTTAAACCACAGAGCCTAGGTCTTGCCAATCAGAAGGTCGGCGGTACGAATCCCCGCGACAGGGTGAGCTCCCGTTGCTCGGTCCCTGCTCCTGCCAACCTAGCAGTTCGGAAGCACAAGTAGATAAATAGGTACCGCTCTGGCGGGAAGGTAAACGGCGTTTCTGTGCGCTGCTCTGGTTCACCAGAAGCGGCTTAGTCAAGCTGGCCACATGACCCGGAAGCTGTACACCGGCTCCCTCGGCAAATAAAGCGAGATGAGTGCCACAACCCCAGAGTCGGTCACAACTGGACCTAATGGTCAGGGTTCCCTTTACCTTTACCTTAAACCTGCATGCATTTTACAGACCATCTGTGATGGGATAACCATGTACCGGAAAGAAAAAGCAAACAAGGTGCAATATCATCCTCACAACGCGTTCCAGCAATCTCAGTGAAGTTATGCTGCTTGCAAAAGAAATAAGAGCAGTTCTTGCTTGCAAAGGTAAGCTTTGGGGCTGTAGAGCTCCAGCGCCATTCAGCACTGTAGTTTGGGCTCACGTCTGCAGGCTCCTGAACCTAATGCAATATTCAAAATCCACCCCTGTATTTGTAAGCTACACTCCTCAGATGCAGGGATTAAGTAAGACTCAAGCAGCTTGGGTTCAAAGGGCAGTGCTGATGGCCAAGGGATGGATCTTGCGAAGATGGAACAAGACCAGCTACAGATCACTTGTCTTTGACCCCTGCAGCCAATGAAAGAGTGACCCAAATGAAAGCAGAACATCGGGAGAAGCTTGGAGGTTTTTGACAGGGTTCTTTGGTGATTGAGAAGGAATGTGGAACATCTGTTTACCTGGCAGCAGCTAATGAAGAATTTTGACAACAGACCCCGTGTGTGTGTGTGTGTGTGTGTGTGTATGTAAAGGGACCCCTGACCATTAGGTCCAGTCGTGACCGACTCTGGGGTTGCAGCGCTCATCTCGCTTTATTGGCCGAGGGAGCCAGCGTACAGCTTCCAGGTCATGTGGCCAGCATGACTAAGCCACTTCTGGCGAACCAGAGCAGCACATGGAAACGCCGTTTACCTTCCCGCCGGAGCAGTACCTATTTATCTACTTGCACTTTGACATGCTTTCGAACTGCTGGGTTGGCAGGAGCAGGGACCGAGCAACGGGAGCTCACCCCGTCACGGGGATTCGAACCGCCGACCTTCTGATCGGCAAGTCCTAGGCTCTGTGGTTTAACCCACAGCGCCACCCGCATCCATATATATATATATAATGATTTTGCTTTTCTGTTCTCTCTTTCACTCTTCTCTTTTAACACTATTTGGTTTTTAAAAATATTTTTTCGTTTAACATCTCAAGATAAACATTTACATAGTACCATATATTCCATAACTTCCCTTCTTCCCCTTCCCTGGTTCATTTTGTTTACCTATTATGCCTGCATATTTTACAATGTCCATTTTTGTCAGTTTTCCAATTTTACATCACTCAGTTAGTTATTAAACTGTTGAATCTATCTAAATGCTACCAGCGTTTTCAAATGTGTAGTTATTTTCCATACATTCAGCAAAAAAATTCCATTCCTCTTTAAATAGTTATTTTTCTTGCTCTCTTTGTCTTAGTTAAACCTGCTAGTTCTGCATATTCTATTGGCTTAAGTTGCCAGCGTTACTCGGGACCTCTCTCACTTTCCATTTTTGGGCTAACAGAATGCAAACCGCCATTGTTGCATACATATATAGGGTTTTCTACCACTTGGCAACTTCTGACTGCACCATTCCTAACAAAAATGCTTCCAGTCTTTTTGGGAAGGTTGTTTTAAACATTTTTTTCATCTCATTATAAATCACTTCCCAGTATCAATAATAGTAATAATAATAGTAATAATTTATACCCCGCCCATCTGTCTGGGTTTCCCCAGCCACTCTGGGCGGCTTCCAACAAAATATTAAAATACAATAGTCCTTCAGATATTAAAAGCTTCCTAAACAGGGCTGCCTTCAGATGCCTTCTAAAAGTCTGGTAGTTGTTTTTTCCTTTGACATCTGGTAAGAGGGTGTTCCACCATTGAGAAGGCCCTCTGCCCAGTTCCCTGTAACCTCACTTCTGGCAGTGAGGGAACCGCCAGAAGACCCTTGGTGCTGGACCTCAGTGTCTGGGCTGAACGATGGGGTGGAGACGCTCCTTCAGGTATACTGGACTGAGGCTGTAATCTTTTCACATGCCCAACACATGCCCACCAAAAAGGGATGAATGGGTAAGAGAAAGGGACAATTTGATTTATTCCAAATGTTTTGGAATAAAAGTTCTTTCATTGTTTCAAATGTAAGAACTGTGAAGAAAAAATAAATAAATTTAAAAATGTAAATAGTCTATCTAAACATAGAAAAAGACCACCTGGCCATTTTGTGGATTCCCCACCAATCTCTACAGCCAGTCAGAGTTTATTGAGCTGCTCATCTCTTTTCCGTCTCTTTTTTATTAGCGCATTTGCTATACTACAAGCAGTACACAGTATTGCTAAATGAAATGTTTCCTACTCACTCTGGAGGTATTCTAGCAGACTTCCATGTCTCATCAGTTCTGTAATAATATAAATTGGATCCTCTAAAGTGCAAACAGCATAGAGCTGTATGAGCTTTGGGTGTCTCAGATTCTTCATTATCTGTGCTTCCCTGAGGAAGTCTTTTGGATCCATTGAACCTGAAATGAGAACAGCAACAAAAGAAAATTAGCCCCTGTTATTAAGGGCCATCCTTGTCTGCCCCGCAGTCTTGTGTAAATGACGAGCGCTGCTGCCTTTCGCTTTGCAAAGTACGATGTACATCAGTGCAAATTCAAGTAAGGAATTCATGCAAGTGAAATGACAAAGGAGAACACAGGTTTTGTAATTTTCCCTGGCTTTAATACAAAAATAATAACTCTAATAACAGTAGATAGCGGGTTATTTTGCCCATCATAAAGGCTATTGGTCATTTTATGACTGAAATGGTAGTCACAATGTTTTATTGGTTTAACTGCTGCTCCCGGATACTAGAAATGTAACCATGATTAGAAACAGTGCAATAATTTCCAACATCTTAAGTTGCCTGCATCAGATCAATCCCTCTAGGTACAAACCCAAGCAATAATGATTCGCCTCTTCCAAGCTACACTGTTGAAGCTCATTATACCTTGGAATAGAGCATGTTTATTACTTAGAATTATTGACCTTATCAGCAAAGGGGCAAAACACAAGGTTCTGATGCACCTATCATGCAGTAAACTTGCCAGACGGAGTTAAGACTTGAAAAGGACTTATAAAAGTAGTGCCGCTATAGAAGGGAAAATGCAATACTATACTAAACTCAATGCTGGCAGTCAATAGAAAATAAAAGTGCCACTTTGCCTTCATGCAAATTTATGGTGCAACCACACTCAGAAAACTGTACGCTTCTTGTCCCCACCCCTCAAAAAGAACATTGTAAAGCAGAAAAAGGCAACCAAAATGATCAGGGGGCTAGAAAAATGCCATTATCGGAACAGGTTGTAACATTTGGGGCTTTACAGCTCAGTAGGAAAAGGTGATTAAGGGAGGGGACAAGATGGAGGTATAGAAAATGATGGGAAAGTGTGGAGAAGGTTGGTAGGGAAAAATTGTTTCCTCCCTTCTGCATCATACTATAACTTGGGATCAACCAATAAAAGTGAATAGAGATTCAGCACAGACAAAAGGAATTAGTTCTTCACACAGCACAGTTAATTAAACTGGGAAATTTGCTACACAATGCAGTGAGCACCAATTACTTGCACAGCTTTAAAGGGGGATTAAATAGATACAGATATTCATGGCAACTAGTTGTGATGGCACCATTGGCTCCAGTGTCAGAGGCAGTCTAAATACCAGTTAATGGGTAACACAAGAAGGAGAGTGTTGTTCTGGTCATGTCTCTAGCTAAATATCCATTGGACAGTCAGTATGGAATGCAGCCTACTCTCACAAGGCATGATTTTGTCTGAAACCCACCCACCTCTTTCTTACAAGAGCTTCTGGAAAATTAAAGGGCTTCTGGAAAATATTCAACAGCAATTGCATCCAGCAGCAGAGCTGGTGCCAACGTACATATAAATAGCTGTTACAACATGATGGGTGAACCTGTCTTACAAATGCATCTGGCAGCATTTTTTTTGGGGGGGGTATAAAAACCCAACATGGATGTATTAATAAAATATCTTAATGCTTCATGGGACTGCATTGCTTTTATGAAGATTGCTGCCAGTTTAATTAGGAATCTCGTGCCTCTCTCTGTGAGGTTAATTGAAGCCCTTTCTAAAATGTAGAGGCTGCAGACTAATCATTTAGACTTTTAATCCAGCATTTGCAGGATCAAAGATCAATTTTTAACCAATCTTGGGTAGGGAGGATGGTTTGGAGTAAATGCAGTTTTATCTTATGAAACTCTTTAATTGTACAACATTGCAACCATCAGTGTTCCTAGAAATAATTTCCCTATGCTATCTTTTATTAAATGCATAAATTGTTTCCTCTCCTACTTCACAATAAATATTTTATTATTACACTTCTATAATAGACCAACACTGTGTACAATAAAGGCCATATATTTCAACAAGTCTTTGACGGGTGCCTTTCCAATCATCTGCCAACATGAAAATAAATTTTAAAAAATATTTATGATAAGTTGTAAATAAAGTGCTCTAAGTGCTTTAAAGACATGAATTAAAACAAATAGATGTTTTTCCCAGGCCTGTTAATACAATCAATTTTTAAAAGATAACACGTGATATACATGGTTTGAACAAATACATCTGATATTACTTTCAAATTCCCCATGTACCATATATTGCCAGGAGAATTTAAGTAAATCTTGTCAGTATTCAGGTGATATTTTTTTCAAAGGACAGTGGCTATTTGCTTTTCTCTTTAATAAAAACTAAAGTGAAATCCTGTGGCCACTAGCTTCAGTTGCACCATTGCTCTGCCGCAAAATGTCATGTCACTAATCACATTTTAGCACTGCAAATAGATCTAAGAGAATTTATGATTGAGAGGAATTGGAAACTATAATGGGCTCCACAAAGTCAGATACCCCTCTCTACTTACCATCCAGGCAAACAAGAAGCATTATCAGAGTTCAATGACACACTCCAGCATAAGCAATTCTGGAGGGTGCAAAAGCTGTACCAGTGAAGGGTTTGGTTTGGAGTGAGTGGTTTGGGGAGAGTTGTGGGGGCCACACTGAAAAGTCCACAGGCCTGATATTTCCCACCCCTGCTTTAGGCCAATATAATCATGATGTTGCAGCTATGTGTTGATTGGTTCCTTATTTGCATGGGGAACAACATCAGTGCACAATGTCATGATTGATGGGTGGCGTGTTTAGGGATGCCACTAGAAATGGCTACATTAGCATTTGTTTTTCCATTTCCACCTTTTTTGGAATGTTTTTTATTAGGTTTTCGAGAATAAGTAACTACATAAGTAGAAGATGTTGTCTGTTGAATAGGGAATGCAGATACAATTGCACAACACTATTATACTGCATTCCTAAAATCATTATCTGTTGACACTGATGCTATGTAAGTGCAAATGATCACAGCTGCCTTATACCAGTATTAGTCCTAGTAAATGCCACATGGTGTTTGCAAGCTTCTCTCATTTATCCTTATGTGTGGTATATTGTTACTTCGTAACTGGGAAAGTGGCTTGCTTTATGCTATTTAGTGCATGGCTAAATAACTGGCAAAACTGAAAATTGCAACCAATGAAGCAACTAGATTCCCCAAACGTATGATTATCAAATAGGTGAAAAGAGCCCAAATGAGCCCTCGCCCCACCAGGTTCAGAGAAATCCCCTAAAATCAAAAAAAGGATTGTAGTGGATATTTTTTCCAGACGTCATATTGCATCACAAGCTTTCACTCCCCTAAGTTTAAAAAGGCACTCACAACACAAGACAAGAAGGAAAAATTGTTGCTTGGATAGAGAACTGAAAAAAGCCCCTCTGGCTTTGCAAAAGCTTGTGCACATATCTAAGAAGGCACTTCAGACTGATATCCTTGTACATAAGAGCTTTTAAAAGAATGGAGGAAATAGACTGATCGAAATTAATCTCAACAGTAAATAGCTGCGATTCTGGGTGCATTTTAAAGAACATAAAGAAAAAGAACCATTATATGCTTTAAAATAATATCTGCCATGAGCAGAAGATGAACCAGTTTTATTTTCATCATCTACTCCCACAGTGAATCTATTTGTCCTTCGTTCTTGATTGTGTAAGATCTTTTGCACCAAAAACAAAATAAAAATTGCTAGGAGAATAATCGAATTCAATGTTTGAATGAGCAGGAAATGCAGTATACACAATGAGGGCTACAAATAGCATTTTCAGTTTGTTTGTCAGTGCTCTCAACCACCCATGCATTGAAGTAAATCTTGATGAAATCTTTTTTTTTTTTTTAATAATCTTTATTGCTTTTAAAACTTACAAAAAAAGAAAAAAGAAGAAAATAGGCGAAAGAAAAAGACAAAATAAAGCAGAGAAGAAGAAAAAAAGAGAAAGAAAAGAAAAAACAATACAATACAATACAATAAGCAATACAAAACACAGCCTTAACACACTAAACTAAACAAAGCAAAAGAACAACAATTTAAAAACATATATCATACCATTTCATTACTCTATCTTTCATTCCCTTATTTCATCGACCTCCTCTCACCTCCCTTTTTGTATTCCACTTCTATTACTTGTTTCAGCAATTCCTTTCCATCTTTCTCTATTTTTATCATTATGAATATCTTAACATATTTTGTACCTTATTTTCCATTAATACTGAAATACTTATTTATACCTAACTCCTTATAACATTTCTGCTAAAGCCATAAAATTTCATTCCAACAATTTTCTAACACTCACTAAATTTACAATATTTCTATATATAAACTTTAAACTTTCCCAATCTTCAACCACCATCTCTTCTCCCTGGTCTCGGATTCTGCCAGTCATTTCCGTCCATTCCATATAGTTCATCAACCTGGAAATCTTCTGTCCAAGGCTCTTAAGTCTTTTCCAAGTCCCTTCTGCAGTTTTTCTTCATATTCTTTGATGCTGAGGGTGCTGAAGCACAGGTCTTGGGTGGGCCCCGACCCAACCAATGCCCCATTCCCTCTCGACAGACCAACCAACTCTCCACAGCTAAAACCAGTGTCCATACAATATCTCAAATCATGTTTCAAGGCTCCTCCAGATCCAAAGGCCCCCACAACTCCAATCACCTCCTGACCCAGATTCAGGACCCAAAGGTCAGTAAATCTCTGCATGAAAGAGTCTATGCAACCTTCCTTCTTCAATCCAAACAGGGCTCCAATCTTCAAATTCTGACTTTTCTATATTCATTCATAAAAGGCCTCCACTTATAGTCCTCAGTTTGCCTCTGTAAAACTGGGGCTTCCACTTGTATTATTTTAGGTTTAACAATACCAACATTCTCCTTCGTCTTCTCCCCAGTTTGTCCTGTCAAGGTAGGTTCCTGTGTCAAATCCTGAACAATTTCTGTATTAATGGTCACTTTTTGTTCCAAATTAGTCACTTTTTGTCCCAAGTTCTCAAGTTTGGTATTCATAGCGTCCGTCTTCTTGTGGAGCTGTTCCAAAGACTCTCCTCCTGCAAGAGAGGGGAGTGGTTGTGGTCGGAAGCCGGACTCCGCCTCAAGCAGGGGGCGTTAGCCCCCTGCCTCCCACTCACCTGGCTGGCCTACGCCCACGGGACTTCCTGTTTAGAACCTTCCCGTTTCGATGCCAAATTAATGAATGTAAGGATCTAATTTTCCGTTCTACTCACGGCTAGTTGTTTAAAATCCAATTGTCCACAGGAAAAAGTCAGCGCTCTCCGGCAACAGCGATGCGGCTTCACTCCGTGAAAAAAGCAATCAATTCGAAGCACCGCGCCACTCACCCCACTTTGCTTTGGATCCCCAAATCAGGGTTTCCCCGTGAGTAGGGGAGGCGCAAAGGGTGCCAGCCGAATCCCAAGTTCACAGGCTTCTCCCGCCTGTGATTTCAGTGGGTCTCCGCCTTCGCCGTGGCGGTCAGACCCTAATTTTCGCGAAGCAAATTCCTCCCAATCGGAGGAACTCCGCCATTGCCTGGAGGCACCAACCCGGAAGTCTAAATCTTGCTGAAACCAAGACTATATTTAGATTTTATGCAGATTTTGAGGGTGAAATAGTCAGAGGTGTTCTTCGACATACCTGGCTTTAGCGTCTTAATTGCCACCGGTGTGGTATTGTTCCATAATCCTTCCCAGACCTCGCCAAACTGGCCAGAACCTAGTCTTTTTAAGAGCTGTAAGGAATTTCGGTCTATCTCCCACTGATCCACAGTTTGGTATGACAAATCATAGGTTGCTGGAACTTCTGTCTGCATAGGAATAAAAATGGCACACATAAATTATGTGCTTTCCTTTTTAAAAAAAACAAACCCAAAACAACTGTATCTATGCAAGTATACCGATTTAAGAGGGTGTCTGCTAAACAGAATGCGGGGGGCAGTAAACCAAAGAGAACTTCCACAAGCAGCCAGGTGCTTCTTTATATGGCACTTCCTCCCATGAAAACAGGAAGGTCCGGTCTTAATGATGAAGCAGAGGGAAACTATTGCTTTGGACAGCAGACCCTAAAGGCCAGAGCTACTTCCATTTTCTATGTTATTTTTATTTTTTAAAAAACAGGGAAGCATCATTTCGTCACTTTCAAAGATATCAAGAGCTGGTACCTTTTCCTGGTTCCACAATGGTCCCCTGCAGTGTGAACTGGCAGAAACAGGCAGTGACGGATGGACTGTCACTGTTTACCGTTGGGTTCTTCACATTACCACAGAAGCCACGGCACCATCCCTTCTCCTGTGCGACCACACTGGCGATACGCCAGTACTGGCCCATTTTCTGAGGAGTTATGTTATTGTAGGGAGTGGCACAGACCTGCACACTTTGGGAGCTTTTTACATTATATGTTGACAGGAAAGGGTAGGGTCCATTCTGCTGTGTCTCCCATTCCCCCGATATAATGTATGGATCCAAATGGATCCAAATGCATAGCTGTCCCATCAAAAAAAAAAGGTCAACTTGTGTAGCAGAATCAATACATTCCATAGAAATCAAGGGGTACTTGCCCAAGTTACAGTTGCAAGACCTTTATTATTAATTAACACTGTTTGAAAATTAACATTATTGGAAAATGTTTCTTTCACTTACATGCAATCTGTACTGCTTTCAGGAGATAGGACCTTTTTTCAAGGATAAGCAAAAGCTATGCAATCATAGGCAACACTGTTGTATGTTCCATCTTAGTTTGACTTATTTCTTTACTTTTTAAAAATAGATTTTCATTCCGCTTTTTAGAAGGATCTCCTCAGAAAGCAGCAAGCAGAGCATAGAGCAACAATGCAAAGTGCAATTTTAAACTTTCAGTTATAAAACAGCCCCAAACCTTAACATTTGCCAACACATAAAAGCTACAGTCTGCCCAGCACAGCTGTTAGACACAGTATAAACAGCATAAAACAACATTGCCACATTAGCAGCCCACTTAAAACTGCTCCATAACAGTGGCAGAGAACAGATGTCCTTCAGATGCTGCTTGAAAATCTGGTGGGTGGAGAGAGGCTTGCCTGATCTCGCTTGGAAGCCAATTCACAGTTGTGGGGCCACTGCCAAGGAAGCCCTTTCCCCATACCCAGCAAATGGATGGCTCTCATAGATGGACACATAGCAGGGTCTCTGACGTGAATCAGAGTTGTGTTTTGTTTTTGTCTAAGGGGGATTTGCTTTTGGTTGTGGTCTCTTCAACTTTGTAGACAGATTGGAATGGGTTCAGAGGAGGACAATGTTGATACTTCTTTTAGAATCTGAAAGATGATTATATCCCTAGATTAGAAAGAGATAGAGAGAACCAGGAAAGCTTTTAGAATAACAAAATATTGCCTGTAGGAATCTGATGGGGTTCTGAGTTCTTGTTTTTCAGTCAGTACTTATAGACAGCTAGAGTTATGAGGGTGGCGATTCCATCTCAATATGGGTTTATACTGTGACTTCATAAGTAACATGCTGGCATGTTCTCCCCCAGGCCATACAATTATTTCTCAAACATTGCATGGCTCTCTTGTTGTAATTATCATTGATATGCCATCCCATATCACGGTGCAGTTATGCATCATTTCTTAAACTATTATCATGGCTGGAAAGAGGGTTAAGTACTTATCAATTCAATCATCAAAACTTCACTCCATTTTGAAAGGAAAATGTCCTGAGTTAGCTCTACCTTTACACATGGCCTCCCAAGCTTTACGCACAGCCCATCGCTGGAACAACTGTAGTATCTGACAAAAGCATTCAAGGTTGGGAAAGTTTTCCTTTTTGTCACAAAAAAGCCGCCATTGTCCAGACGTCGGATTCGGTAGTGCTTCACAACCTTCCCATCCCGTACTAGAAAAATAAAAACGAAGGAACAGAGGAAAAACTGCCTTATTCCAAGTCAGGATGTTGAGCCAATTTAGTTCAGTGTTGTCCACTCTGATTGGCAGATGCTCTCCAGCATCCAGGCAGGGAACATTTCCCAACTCCACCCACAGGTGCCAGAGGTGGAACCTGAAGTCTTCTGCAAGCAAAGCAGATCCCCTTCCACTGAGCTACGACCCTTCCCCTAAGGAAGGCATTGTGAATTGCCTAAGACTTGCATAAAAACAACACACATCATAATATAATATAGTCAAGTATCCATCCAGAAAACTTGCCTCCTAAATGAGCCTCCAGTGACCCAGTCTTATAAGCTTTTGCCCTGAATGGTGTATTATGTAATGACAGGGGAATAATAATAATAATAATAATAATAATAATAATACACATATATTTCTAGTGGATGCAACTGGGAACCCCCTGCCAAAGTTAAACTTTGTTTTAAAGGTTTGTTTTCCCTCTGCCAGGCATGGGGTACCTCAGCTGGAAATAGCCATGCTCTTGAATGAAGCTTGAAATAAGGATAACTTACGCCAAATAAAATTACATTGACTTCTTATAATTGTGCTTGCTCTGTAAGACCTTTATATCCCTATTTATTTACCATCATGTATTACTTGCATATGGTACCATATGGTGCCTTAATAAAATGGTACAAAATATTTTATTTGCATACTAATCTCAGAGACACACGTGTGTATATTCTTGTCTCATAAGGAAAATGTCATGATTCTGTCATTATAGAATGGCAAGCTGACCATTACTGCACATTATACTTCCAACAGGAGTTACTTTTAGACACCTCTGGGGTACAGTAGCCCTATTTATAACACAAAGAGGACTCATAGATTGAAATATTAAATCAATTTTTTTTAAAAAAGTTCCCAAATGCCAGGAGGTCATAGCTGTTAAGGGCCATGCACTATTTAGGCAATGTGCGTAATGTATGGCATCATATGCCATGCTTAGTTCCAACTTCATCGTAACCTCGGACCTCGATGACTGTCAGTAGCAGAGTGGCAGGTGTGTACACACTATATCTCTGAAGCACATTCAAAGAATTCTGGGCACTGTGGTTTGTGAAGGATTGCTGGGAATTTTCACTCTGTGAGGCATAAACTACATTGCCCAGAACTCACTGAGAGACAAAATGGGCTTCAAATGTATCTTATAGGTACAGGGTGTACACATAGATGGAGTCTATGTGATTGGAGCTCTCATTCCACATTACATGTGACCAACTGGCAGCCCATACTATTTGCATACAGTTGGCAGGCATCTTTAGGGGTCTTCATGTAAACTGAGTTTTTAATCACCAGCAATTGTATATTAAATGAATATTTAGCCCTATCTTCCTTAAGCAGTCAAGCTTTATCAAGCATGCAGTTATCTCAAATTACCATTAGAGGGTGTATAGGTGTCATATGGAGTATATTATTTTAGATTATCCCCCAAGTCTTTAGTCGTGCACTGTAATTCATATGCTTTTATGGTACTATTATACAGAGAATCTGAATGAAGATCAAACTTGAAGGTTACATATATTAGGGGTCTTTTTCCATATGCATGGTGGGGCTAGAGGGTGCATGAGGAGCAGTGGAAGAACTGATGGGAGTCATTCTGCATAGGGCTCACCGTCAACTGTTACCTGCAGTTGAGGATAAGATGGCAGCTTCACCTTTCCATCTACTGAAGTCGACTAGACTAGCATTTCAAACTTATTTCAATTCTGGCAACAGGAGAGTGTCTTCTACCACATTTGAGTCCACAGACTAACTGTAGGGGTTCAGGACGGGCCACCTGACACACACAGCTCTGCCCTAGAACATAGTCAGGTAGCTGCTGCTGCGATTCCCCAGCATCTGCTGCCTAAGGCGGTCATCTCATTCTGCCTATTGGTAGGGTTGGTCCTGATTCTGCTACATTATTATATCTACTTTCAGACACCACCATGGTCAGCAAACTGAGGAACCACTGTTGCTACTTTATGGCAAGTGTGATATTAAAGGGAGATGTAAACTCTACCAAAAAAATGTATTATTCACTGAGTTTGTTAATTTTGGATCAGAAAATGCTCTTTTCCCCAACTTCAGAGTATCAAACTCAGAGTATGATGGATTGAAATAAGTTTCAAATGCTAGTCTAGTCGACTTCAGTACATGAAAGATAATAATAATAATAATAATAATAATAATAATAATAATAATAATATTTATACCACACCCATCTTGATGGGTTTCCCCAGCCACTCCGGGTGGCTCACAGCACATAAAAAAAGTAAAACGTTAGACATTAAAAAATTCCTGATGGAAAGCTGAAGCTGCCATCTTATCCTCAACTGCAGGTAACAAAATGTTTTGAGTGAGCCCTATGCAGTGGTGCTTACTTAAGAGCAGGTAAGTATAAGCTTGCATTGTTAGTTCACATATTCAATTATAAGCAAACCTCCCCCCCCCAATTTAAAATATTTTTAAAAATTTATTAAGTTCTAGCAGTTATTGCCAGTTCATGTACCTTTGTGAAAGAAATAATCACAGAGATTTTTCATGAACAAACCCAGGAGAAATAAGGTCAAGACTGTGTGTGTGTGTGTGTGTGTGTGTATACACACACACACACACACACACACCAGGAGAAAGAAGAAAGAGAAAATAGTCATCATACCTGAAAGAGAGAATTCACCCGTTAGACTTTCGCTGTTTCTGATCAGGAAAGCTCCATCCTGATTTTCAGGATATAGCAGCCGTTTCTCAGCATCCACTCGTTTAATACCACCAAAAAACCACCTAAAACAGAAAGAAAGCCATAGAACTAGTTAATGGCCAAAGTTATGTTTGTGTTGGACACTTGAAGAGCAGCTGGAAACAAAACGAATGGCATTATTGAACGGATGCAAAGGTTACTCTTTATGCATTTGTTTTCTATCCTGCCCTTCTTCAGAAGAGGAGCCCAGAGTGCCTTATAATAGAAAACAACCATTGCAATAAAAACAGTACTTAAAATGACCTATTTAGAATCTGTTAACAAAGCTCATCAGTAACGAACACCATTAATAAATTTAGAGAGGGGTTTTAGAAATCAAGGATACTAAAGTTATGAAGCTGCTATTAACCATAAATGTAATTGAGGAATGCTGGGTAATGCATTAATTTTCATCAGTAGTGGTCAGCGGGGTGATGGCACTTTACCTGATTCCCATCACTGGTGTCACTACATCTTACTTAGAGGGATAGGGGCAAGGCCAGCGTGGTGAAAACACAGTGGCAGAGCCAATGCCACAGTCCCAGTGGTGCATTTGCCCCATGGACAAGTTAAGCTTCAGTGACATCAGGTAAATGGATACAGTTTTAATTCTATTAATGTTTCAGTGTTTTTAATGATTTCTTTTTCTATGTTTTTAGTGATTCTTGTTTTTATCTGTAAGGTGCCTGGAGTTATTATTATTTAGCAGCAGCAGCAGCAGCAGCAGCAGCAGCAGCAGCAGCAGCAGGTAAAGGCTACTGCCTCACTGCTGATTTTCATCTGGGTATGTGGTATTTGATTTAAAAGATTTACAAAGTAGCACAATCAAACAAATCACAAAACAGATTAAAACAAACGTTTGACTACATTTTCAGACAGTACAAAATATTGCTATTGACCTAAGAACAAAGCTTTACTCCAAATTATATACCTATCACTCTTATATAATATTTCTTTTTATTTCTTTAGTCAATAATATGTAATTCAATAATATGTAAGGAATAAGTAACCTATCACTCTTGATAAATGGTACACAATTTAAGGTATGAATAGTAAAGGTGAGAAGAAGCAAGTTGTGGTTAACTATACAAAATGTTAAAAGAGAGAAAATGTAAGTGGCTAGGAGACATTAAATTTTACATATTCACTTCATGGCCTTATATATATACACACCATTACTCAAGTTTCTCTCTCTCTCTCTCTCTCTCACACACACACACACACACACTTGAGAAGGTTTAGAAGTTCCTCCATCTTTCACCTATTTCAGAGCACAGAGAGTGATACAAAGAAAAACAGATTTGTCAGTCCCCAAACAACTTTTGAATTGCTGGTACATCCAGTCCTCACATTGTCTGTTTTGTGATGGAGAGAACCAAAGAGGTAAGAGAAACAAGCAGGACATGGTGGTGGACCAGGATTGTAGCTTATCTGCCTCTTTCTTTGATGATGGGACAGATGACTATTATTGTATGGCCTAAGTAAGGGAGAAAGGTAAAGGTAAAGGTACCCCTGCCCGTACGGGCCAGTCGTGACCGACTCTAGGGTTGCGCGCTCATCTCGCTCAAGAGGCCGGGAGCCGGCGCCATCCGAAGACACTTCCGGCTCACGTGGCCAGCGTGATGAAGCTGCTCTGGCGAGCCAGCACCAGTGCCGCACATGGAAATGCCGTTTACCTTCCCGCTATAAAGCGGTACCTATTTATCTACTTGCACTTTGACGTGCTTTCGAACTGCTAGGTGGGCAGGAGCTGGGACCGAACGGCGGGAGCTCACCCCGCCGCGGGGATTCGAACCGCCGACCTTACGATCAGCAAGTCCTAGGCACTGAGGTTTTACCCACAGCGCCACCCGCGTCCAAGGGAGAAAGGCCATACCCCCAAATGGTATTGGGGTCACTTCAATCTCTGCTGAGTGATAGCAAAATTGGAACTTAACCAGGGTTTGTGTTCTTTTAAAATGTGGCCCAGTGGAGACTAGTGTATTTAAGAAATTTGATTTATTCTACACGTTTACAACCTGAGTTTTGCAGGAGGGAGTGCCGAACATTACACCCCAACATTTTTCCTGTGATGACATCACACCCCTGTCATCCTGCAACTGCCCCCTCCATGCCGGCATGGCTGATGGTTCCTATTATCAAACAAACCAAGCCATTAAGCATTTTTAATGTCTTCAGCCACCCATCCCCTAGGAATTGACAGATTAGCCTTTTTCTGATCCATGCCAGTTTCACATGGGTTCTTTCATAAGTTCATTCTGTCTAGACAGGGTTGGGGCAGTGCAGCAGCGAGGTTGGGACTGTGCAGGTTAGGAATGACTGGAAATTCGAACAGAAACTAGAGTGCCAATTGTCGATGTTTGCCAATTTGTCCCACGTCTAGAACGGAAATCAGTCCAGTGAATACAACTAATATACACTGTTGCTGCTTTCAGTCTGCAAGCAATGTGCAATTAATGCGCTTTCCCCCATTTGCCTTGTGTTTCCATGGCGTTGAAATGAATGGTGTGCAATGTGCCCAGGGTGGCTGTCTATCAACTCCATCAGGTGCGCAGGCTGAGACCCTACCTGCCCGCAGACTGTCTCGCCAGAGTGGTGCATGCTCTAGTTATCTCTCGCTTGGACTATTGCAATGTGCTCTACGTGGAGCTACCTTTGAAGGTGACCCGGAGACTGCAATTAATCCAGAATGTGGCAGCTAGACTGGTGACTGGGAGTGGCCGTCGGGACCACATAACACCAGTCCTGAGAGATCTGCATTGGCTCCCAGTATGTTTCCGAGCACAATTCAAAGTGTTGGTGCTGACCTTTAAAGCCCTAAACGGCCTCAGTCCTGTATACCTGAAGGAGTATCTCCACCCCCGTTGTTCAGCCTGGACACTGAGGTCCAGCACCAAGGGCCTTCTGGCAGTTCCCTTATTGTGAGAAGTGAGGTTACAGGGAACAAGACAGAAGGCCGTCTCAGTAGTGGTGCCCGCCCTGTGGAACACCCTCCCGTGAGATGTCAAGGAAATAAGCAGCTATCCTATTTTTAAAAGACATCTGAAGGCAGCCCTGTTTAGGGAAGTTTTTCATATTTAATGCTGTATTGTTTTTAACATTTGATTGGGAGCCACCCAGAGTGGCTGGGGAAACTCAGCCATATGGGCAGGGTATAAATAATAAATTATTATATTATTATTATTATGCAGTAATTGATTACATAGTTAAATACAGAAAAGTCTGCCACAAAAGGCAGTGAGGTGAATTACATTGTTGTTGTTTTTGTTGGAAGCCAAACTGGAATGGAAACAGTGCTGTGTGTGATAAATACAGGTCAGAATGGAAACCAGTGCCCTCTTACACCCCGGTAAAGTTGCAGCAGCAAAGCCAATCCAACATTCCCATATCTGCCCCTGCACAGCTCCAGCTTTGCTGCCACCTCGCCCTTCCTCAGATGCATCCAGGCAAGCTGCAGCAACATCAGCACACCCCATACCCAACTAAAGTAATGTCCTTGCCAGAAAAAGCACAATCATGGAAAATATGAGTTGTTGCAGCGACTGCACACTCGCTGTATTATGCCAAGATGTCCAATACCAGGAGTAGGTGCCTACTAGAGATCAGGGCATCACAAGCCATGGCGTTATTCTGGCACTGCAGGTGGATAGGCAGGTGAAACTCATGAGAGTTTCCCATGCAAAGGTCAAAAGTTGATTGACAAATTTAGACTATATAGCAGGAAGTAAAGTGGATTCCAAAAGGAAGCCTTTGAAACAACAGTGACTTATTTATTTTAACAAGCATTCGACTATGAGTAACATTTCTAGAAGGAATGAGGAAATAATAACGGGCTCAGTGAAGTCAGAAGAATGTTGGCTTCAGTATAAGGGCATGTCCAGCCTTCTTAGCAAATAGGAAATAGTTTTACATGATTCACTCACAGTTTTCAGCTTCCCACCTCTCATGACATTGATTTATAGATCCAGTTTCTATTAGTACACGCAAAACTATAATCTACAAAACACCTCATTGTTTTCTCCATAATACTGCAGATGACAGTTTATAATATTAATGTCATTTTCACCACCCTTTTAAGAGAAATGGAGCAGGGAAGATGAAAGAGGTGCTAGAATAAAGAAGTGCTAGAGTCTCATTGCAGTGGAGAGATCCCTATCTGCCTATGACATCCAGAGAGCAGGACTATCCGCGTGTTCTTAGAAACTGCTTCATACAACTGGTACCTACAGGTACTGAGCAACTAAAGAGTATCTATTTTTCCAATGAGAATGTGAGAGTAACAAGTCAATACATCAAACAGGATGCTGTAATGTGATGATCCAGGATGATATGAGGGCACGAAAACTATGACTATGTACACATTTATCAACTTGATGATAATGTTCAGCCCGGGCACTGAGGTCCAGCGCCAAGGGCCTTCTGGCGGTTCCCTCACTGCAAGAAGCGAGGTTACAGGGAACCAGGCAGAGGGCCTTCTCAGTGGTGGAACTTGCCCTGTGGAATGCCCCCCCGTCAGATGTCAAGGAAATAAACAACTATCTGACTTTTAGAAGACATCTGAAGGCAGCCCTGTTTAGGGAAGTTTTTAATGTTTGATGTTTTATCACTTTTTTGTTATTATTATTAATATTCTGTTGGGAGCTGCCCAGAGTGGCTGGGGAAACCCAGCCAGATGGGCGGGATATAAAGAATAAATTAGTAGTACAGTGGTACCTCGGGTTACATACGCTTCAGGTTACATACGCTTCAGGTTACAGACTCCGCTAACCCAGAAATAGTGCTTCAGGTTAAGAACTTTGCTTCAGGATGAGAACAGAAATTGTGCTCCAGCAGCAGGAGGCCCCATTAGCTAAAGTGGTGCTTCAGGTTAAGAACAGTTTCAGGTTAAGTACAGACCTCTGGAACGAATTGAGTACTTAAACCGAGGTACCACTGTAGTATAAGAAGTAGAAGTAGTAGTAGTAGTAGTAGTAGTAGTATTGCTAATTTCCCCCTGTAGAGTTTCAAGTGGCTTTCATTCGTCACTGTACACACGAAAGAGGAGGTTGGGATGCACATTTTGGTGTGCTGTGCCTGAAAAAGCGTTTTTCTGGGGGGCTGCGATCTTGTGTGGGTCATGTGACTCATATGGGAGTGTGAACCTGAAAGATGGCGTCCCAGATTTGCATCCCATTTTACAGGAATGAAGATGAAACTGTGTAGCCCTTCACAGGGTCAATGGCATCCCTACACAAATGCTTCCCAAATGTAAACGAAAATTGTGAGTGCCAAAAACATAATCGCAATCCAGAGAAGGAACAGGGAGTTGTTAGTATTTTTATCTTAGCCCTAATTGGAAATCAGTTTCGAAGGGCTTGACACATATTTGGAGAAGGCGCAAGCAGGAATCTAAAGCTACTATCTTAACTGCATTTATAACAGAGCCGTTGTTTGCCTAGCACAGGGAACATTTTTGTCAGCTAATGGTAGGGTTGCCTTCACACAGATAAAATGTAATTGCACGGCTAAAATTGGATCACCAAAGCGTACACAAAGTAAAAAAAAAGTGGGGAGGGGGAGTTTTCATTACAGCTTTCCTTTTATCTTCTAATACCAGGAAAAGAGATCATTTATAAGTCAAGTGGCTGAAATGGAGGCAGAGAGAGACGGAGAGAGACCCTTTGTATATCAAAGCTTAGAAGCTGGCACACCAGTCAAAACTCTTTGAACAGGAATCCAGCAATCAAGAATTGCTTGTGGTGATATGGCTTTTGTTTTGTTTTTAGTTGAGTGTATTGTTCTGACTCACATCACAGCTCTTTCTTGATTGTTTCAGCTGAATATTTAACTGGTGACTACATACAAACAGGGTGGTTTGCCTTTTTAATGGGAAGCTGCACTAATTAAAATGTGACTGGATATCAGTATCTAGGAACCGGCAGTATTTTTTATGTGGTATGCTTAGTAGCTGCTAGCAGAAGGGACACAGGCCAAGGATGTCTACACTTATTCATTGCTCTATTTAGGGCACCTCCTCACTACCATCATATATAGCAGGACTATAGCAGGACGGAAGAACTTGCCTCCACAGTTTTACAGGGTGATGTAGCACAAGGCTTTTAGTGCTGCCACTTCAAATGGCTGTATCCTCAACTCAGACCTAAGAGAAAGTGAAACTGATACACAGATGGCATTATAGCCCCCCACTTGCATTGATCAATAATCTTCTGTCCTCAGCTTGTTAGAGGGGCTGCAGGATAGTTGGAAAATTATTTCATCCATCGTGGGAATGCCCAAAGTGAAATAATTTTCAGATAAAATCCTTAGGATTATTGTCTCGACCACCATCATTCCTGATACTGCACTGCTGTTGTTAAACATACCAGAGTGAATAGTCAGTTCCTGGATAGAGAAGTGGTCCAAGGCAGGACATTAAACCCAAACCTTCACACCAACCCATATCCAAGAGTTCATATTGACTAGATTCATGGACTGAGTTCAAGAGTCCAGGGTGGAAATGAAAAACGGATTCTCCAGAATCCCTAGATTTGATTGTTCCTCATTTTAGGGATGATTCCATATGCAGCTAATTAGGGGGGAAAAACATTTTAATGTGAACACATTTATGGAATGACATTGTAATCCTTCCCCTTTTTTCTTATCTTATGCCATTAATTGTGCCAATATACGGTACCTTTGCACTATCCTAACTTATCACCTCTATTTGCAGGTAATTTACGCCCTTCCATTTCATTGTGAACTTTGTTCATCTATTTCCTGTAGTGTCATCACTGATAAAAAAGCATGAACCATAGGAATCAGTCCTTAGTCTGATTTAAGCAAAACGTTAAAAAACCCCACTAAGCAATGCCACTTGATTTTTTTCAGATATTTTATGAAAACTTCTGCCACTTAGTATTACCAGAGGAAAGACAAAAGCCTGAAGTAGGGACCCACTAAAGAAGAGGTGTGTTTTTTTAAGAATGCAAACAGATCACACACTATTTTGATCACTTAATCCTCATAATCAAAACCCATTTTTGATCTGCAGAAAACCAGTCCTTCAAGTTTTCAGAGACAGCTATGTTGGGCTGCATAATTTATTGTTCTTTGTACATAATCCAGTTGATATGTAAGGTTATGAATCATGCTTGTTGGTCCAATCCATGCAGCTGAATAACCTAATTATTGTAACAACAAATAAGAGGTATCTGTGCATTTAAAGTATGACATCTAGAGACTATTAATCACTACCACCCACTTAAGCTTCTTAATAAAGGAGAGTTATTTTTGGTCGCAGTGTAGGTGAAGACAGAAAACAGAAGGAAGAGTATGGGAAGGGAAACGCAGAGCATATCCACAAAGAGGCAATGCTAGTCATTGAGGAAAATTTCCGAATTTCATCTCACTTTTTCCATCTGAAAAAAATATTTCCCCTTAAAATACCAGTTCAAGCCTAGGGCTAGAATGTAGAACAGAGATCTGAGGAAACAGGTTCTATATTGGAAAGCAGTGGTGGGCAACAGGGTGTTTTTGGAGATGTTTTTCTCTCTCAAGTACCTCATAGAGTGTTGGAAAGCTTAGGCCAGAGGTCCTGGGGCAACTTTTTCTTTCAGAGGGCCACGCCATGGGCACATCAGTGCTCACCCATCGCTAGTTACACAGAGATCCTCGTTCATAGCTTTACTCCAATCTTTACTCCAAATAGTACATACTTTGAAGCTTGAATTCCTTCACTGAAGTTGCCCAGCATATCACATTATATCAACCTGAATTCATAAGTTATCCTTTTCTTCAGACAATCACTTTCTGAATGCCCTGCTTACAATCGTTGGCATAATCAGGTTTAACATATTGCATTCTTTCAAAGAGTAAATTCTTGTGCAATTTCATCTGATTTAAAAGCTCTCATGCTACAATGGGAGTAAGCGCCATGAAACTCATTCAGAGTTACTTCTGAGTAGACATACATAGGATTGTGTTATCATGCTCCTAAAGTCAATATGCAGCTGATTTCTTTTTATTTCTTTAAATCCTTGTTTACAAGGCAGAGCAAAGTACATTTGGATATATGGCAGATATTGCCTCCAGTTGAAGATAGGAGCTGACATTTATTGCTACTAAATTATACAAATGTCACTCTTTTTTCTTTTCTTTTTGTCATTACTGTGTAATCTATAGGGACATACATATGCATGATACACATCCATATACCAAAAAAAATCATCAATATTGATTTATAACAAACTAAATGCATGATTATTGTGAATTGCTGTACGTGCTTTGTTGTACCAATAATCAAGGAACATATGTGAATTTTAATTTAAAATGTTACACTTTTTCTTTATCTTTCAAAACCTGTTCTTTTGTGCACTTTAGTTTTCCATTGTGAAGTGGTGGGAAACTCCCAGTCCACCTAGCGCTTAGCATAGATAATTTCAGCAGCAATTAGCATAACAATCTTCAGTGCCTATCAATTATTTTATATGTCACTGTAATAACAGAAGATCAAGGGGTATTTTACAGTCAAGCAATCTTTTTATTGCCTTGTTAATATTAAACCACAAAGCCTTAGATGTGGAAAATGCCACATTTGGTTAAAAAACATTCTTGATTCTCTTTCTGATGTTAGAGCATAGCAGGTCCTTGAACTACCTGTAATTCTTTATAGGTTTCAGACCCATTTAGTCATAACTAGATCTTAGGTCACATACAATCTAAGAAGTTGACACTGTTTCCAGACATTCTCATAAACATCAAGATTTAAGACTATCTTACATATTGGATCCAAGTTATCCCCATTTTTCACAGCCTTTATTTCTCAGTGCAACTTCAACAATATTTGGGATGGTATTTAAGTTTTACTCAGAGTATATTCCATGAAATTAATGAACATTACTAAGTTTACTAAGTTAAGTTCATTAATTTCTTTGATCTACTGTGAGCAAAACCTATCTGAACATTTTTAATACTCGATTTTTCTGAAGTCACCAGGGAAAAAAACACAAGTTAATTCTTTAAGCTGGCATACTCTTTCTTCTAATTCCCACATTTAATTTCCTATCTCCAGATATTCAAACTAGAGTGGCCCGCACAGGGAATCTTTGAATGACCAGAATATTAGCAAGCTTCCATGGAAAGAAGCACTGTTGACACACAGCTGTAAAGGATTTATTTGCAGGAGAGTGAAAACAAGTTCAGTGTTTATCCAGTCTAAACATTTTTATATAATGCATACAATTAACATGGCAGAATTTCACTCACTTGGAGCAAAGTTGTTTCTTTCCTTGGAACAGCTGTTTCACTCTGCTATCTCTAAATCATGGTGTATCCCTACCTGGGTTATTTGCATATCCAGCTCCACCACTAAGAGGTTTACTGCTTCCCAAAATAACTCTGCCCTTTCTCCTCTGCAGCCCTTATGCCTTGATCTGCCTCCTTTACTTCCTTCAAATCCCTCCTCAAAACTTTCCTTTTCTGTAATGCCGATATTCTGCTGTAAAATATCGTGCCCACACCATATGTTTAAAGCACTCTTATGCCACTTTATAAGTCATGATTTCCCCCAAAGAATCTTGGGAACCGTAGTTTACCCCTCACAGAGCTACAATTCCCAGCATCTTTGACAAACTAAATTTCCCAGGATTATTTGGGAGGGGGTATAACGTGCTTTAAATGTGCGGTATTTCTGCACCCTAGATCATTGTGTTGCTTACACAAATGTCAGCCCCACTGAGATAAATGAGACTTACTTCCAGGTACATGCTTGTAGGATTTTGCCACCTTAATTCTCAGTGCACATGCCCTGTGCTGCCTTCTCATTGACATGTAACATTCAACTGATACTTAAACTCATATTTCAGTGAATGTTGGCTGAAACAGTGAAAGAGGCCTTTATTAAAAAGCAAGCCTGAAGGGATACTATGTTTTTTGTGGCCAGTTTAGAAAACAAAAGCGGGGTTGTTTTCAATCACAGCCCTCCCTCCATGGTTTAGGTTATTAAAATTAACAGTACAGCTGGCTAACATTTGTTGTCCATAATACATTGGCAGAAGGACATTTTCGTGTTTAGGCAAAACAATTGGCACTAACAGAGCAAGGACAGGTGATTGGTTGGTTTCCATGGTTCCTGTTTGCAGTGCTGAATATAATCGAAAGCAAGGCATAGACAAGCAACAGAAGCAGAGAGATCATATTCTCAAAAGTTTAAATTGTGTGACTAGTACTACTCGTTAAAATTAAAACTTGGTGATTCAAGGCATGTTAGGATACTTAAGGCAACCATTTCAAATAGTTAATTTATATCATAAAACTACATGTATTGATAGAGCTGGAAACTACTATACTGTAGTTCGAGTCATTAAAAAGAAAATCATATTGCTCAGAAATAAGCTCTCTATATGTTTTCATTGGGACGCGGGTGGTGCTGTGGGTAAAACCTCAGCGCCTAGGACTTGCCGGTCGCATGGTCGGCGGTTCGAATCCCCGCGGCGGGGTGCGCTCTCGTCGTTCGGTCCCAGCGCCTGCCAACCTAGCAGTTCGAAAGCACCTCCGGGTGCAAGTAGATAAATAGGGACCGCTTACCAGTGGGAAGGTAAACGGCGTTCCGTGTGCTGCGCTGGCTCGCCAGATGCAGCTTGTCACGCTGGCCACGTGACCCGGAAGTGTCTGCGGACAGCGCTGGCTCCCAGCCTATAGAGTGAGATGAGCGCACAACCCTAGAGTCTGGCAAGACTGGCCCGTATGGGCAGGGGTACCTTTACCTTAACCTTTATGTTTTCATTATAAAGCTGAAAATATTGGCCAAATCATTTTAAGCATTTGCCAAGGAGATACAGAGAAAGAGAACTGGAGAGGAAACAAGCTTACTGGCAGAACAACAAATCTTTCTATATAGCACCATAGGGTCAAACCTTAAAAACCTAATCAGAATTTCCTTCTGTAAGCTGTCTTTTGCCCTCAAGGTGATGCAGCTCGGAGGAGGTGATATTGATAAGTTGGGTTAGAAAAAACCCCTCAAGGAAAACAGTCACACAAGTGCTATGTGTAGTTTGTGAAAGTCATTCACCAGCTCTCAATTGTGTTTTTAAAGCTGCATACCATATGTGAATATAGTGGTGAGCTAAAAAATGCAAGGCCCTCTCTCCCACCCAAAAGGTCACCCATAAATGAGCATTCCCCCCCCCCAAATAATGAAGTGATCATCTGCCCACATTCAAATTGGTATCAAGCATTGCAGGAATACCCAGCAATACATACCTGGTGTGTTTCTGGCAGCACCAAGAACACCCTAGCATGCTACTGAGACCAACAGGATGTTGTCTGCATGAAGAGCACAGTTACCTTAGATGCTCTTTGCCTTTAAAGTTAACAAGCCTATTATATACCCCATACTCATGTTTAAAGGTATGAATTTAAGAGACTGAAATGTGCTTCATACCTTATACTAGTGATGGGAGTTGGATATTGGGGGACCACAGATTCCCTATCAGCTCCAGCTAAAATAGCCAATAGTGAGTGATAATGGGATCTGTATTCCAGCAACATCTGGAGGGCCACAGGTTCCCCATCCCTGCCTTACATTTTTCCTAAGCTTCTCATCTAGGAAGGTGTACAGAACTTATATGTAGATCAAGCCTACACAATTTGTGATTCACACGCAACCCCTTTGAGGTCACATTGCACACGAAGGGAGCACTTTGCAAGAATGGACTGGCCTTATGATACACATGGAAATTTGAGCATGTTGCTAACGCTTCTCTGCCTACATCTCTGGCAAGTCCTTTTGGGTCTCCAGTTCAAAATATCCAGCACCAAATCCCACTCCTTGGTAACAGGTCAGGTGCCTAGTAAGCTCCCCACTCGGTTAAGCAATGGAAAAAAATACTTGCTGCAAAGCATAGCTTCTGCAGCTGTCTCCCATCCCTCTCTGCCTTTGCCATATGTGAGCAATGTGTCTTTTCTAGGCTGTATTGCTCTCTAGCGCCCTTCACACCCAGCACTGTGTAGTAGAACCCCCAATTTCCACATGCAGTCAAACCTTCTGTTGGCAAGGCCCAGTACTCCACTCCCAGCCTCCACCATTCCTGGCCAAACACTTTTGCCTTGCAGAATTGCAGCTTGGATGCACGGAGCAGAACAAGCTGTCGCAACACACCAAGACTGACAATAGCATTCAGTGCCAACCAGCTATTATGCCAGATTAAACATTTTGAAAGCCTGTTCATTTTTCCTTTGCAGAACTAAAGAAAAAAGTATAGAGATCCCCAGCCCACTAATTGCCAACATTCAGCTGTCCACTTACCTGCATCTTTCTGCAGCACACAAAACAAGCAGATTTATTAGGGCGAAGGGGACCAGAGGCCACTCTGATAAAGTGGGCTATGGTCCATGGAAGCAAGTTTTACTCACAGCACAATGCTATGTGTATCTTGTAATTTCCTGTAGATTCAAAGTGCCTTAATTCAAAGATTCTGGATATAGGACTGTTGTCTAGGGCTGCAATCCTATGTACCCATTTTCTTGGGAGTAGCCCAATTTCGCTGCTTATCCTCTTAGCCCTTAAAATGCCCCACAACTCAGCTGCTGTACAAAGAAAGTGGCGGTTAATTTTTCTAGGTATTTTTTAGTTCCTTATTCAATTTACTAGTTCAGATGACCTTTGTGCCAATTTAATTTGGAGTAGGATTCACCAAAGGTCTGCAGCCTCTGTGACATAACTTCTTCCTCTTTTCTCCTGAGCCTGTATCTTAGATTGCAAAGCTGAGAGCTGGGCCCCATGGTAGTTAACTGCTTTTGTGCAGCACCTAATATATTTTACCCAAACATACGGCAACGTAACATGTGCCCAAACAGAGAGCAGACATGTGTCAGTGCCATGGCACCACATCTGCTTGCTATTCCATGGAGTATTTCCCCCAAAGCCACTTTCAGCACATACCTCTGAGCTCCACTGCGAATGTAAGTTGAATTAAGGAAAGTACTGCAGCATTTATTTTTCATGCAAATATAAATCACACACTGTCTTTGGTGTAATGTAAACAAGCTGCAATAAAGCTACAATTAAACCTCTCCAGTGTAATAATATACAGTGGTGTGTTTATAGTTTTCTTAACTACAGCAACAATCCTCATATTTTATAGGTCTGAAATAGATAGGCTTAGCTGCTAAGGTTGATAGTTATCATTTTAATTCCTTTAATAGCAACCCTATATTAAGATGAAATTCTTGAATCCAGTGGCGTAGCGTGGGTTGTCAGCACCCGGGGCAAGGCAAGTAATTTGCGCCCCCTAACCCTAACCCCCAGATGTTGCGGCCGGCCCCCCTGCACCCCCCACGCTACGCCACTGCTTGAATCCACACACTGATGAGTTCTCCCCAGATGTTTCCAAGTATGCTGACTTATAGAGAATCCTGCACCTGCTCTGCTGTTGCAATCGGCAGCACAGGGATAGTCAATGGGGTGCCCTCCAGATGTTGTTGGACTACAACTCCCATCATCCCTGAAATGGTTGTTGGGGGTTGATGGAAGTCAGAGTCCACCATATATTGAGGCTGTCTCTGCTCTAGCACCTAGAACCTCTTAAAGTGAACTCCATGTTATTTATGAAGGGCGATACTCAAGAAGTACAGAAGAAGACTATTTTTTGTCAATTTGTTGTTCTCGCTGCACCCACCCCCTTATGCTGTTTCAAACCTCTGGAGATTTTTGGATGGAGCTGCAGGGATGGAGGGTGAATATGCAAAATATCACTCCCCTCCCCCTCTTGCCTGCTGACTAGAAGCTTCCACTGGCTCAAAGGGCTTTCTGTCATAAGAAGAACAGCATTGCATACAATCCTATGAACTCCTATCAATTTGCTTGCACCACTTCACAATTTCAGCAGTGATGTGATGGTTTGTAAGTCATGAAAACCCATGGCTTAATATTTTATTATTATTTATTTTAAATAGTGTTATATTTCTTACTGCTAAGAAAATCTTGAAGCGGTTCACAACACAAAAACATCCATTAAAACTATTTCAAAATGCAGCTATCAGAATATCAAGAAATATACGGTTGTAGAATCCAGTATTGATGATCAGGAAACGTCTAAGCAAAGAGATGTGTTTTCAGTAAACATTAGAAGCAGGGTACTGTTGATGCTGCCCAAATAATGGGGGTGGGAGAAGCTTCTACAGTACCACCACAGAAAAGGCCCATTTATATGTTTTTGCTAGATGACAATCTGCAGATTGTTGTGTGGCCAACAGGCCTCCTCTGAATATCTTAATCAATCTTACAGAGAGTGAAGGTGGTCCTTCAGGTAAACTGGCCCTGAGTTGCTTATATGTTAATAAGAAAAGCTTAAGCATTGCTTGGTAGGCAATAGGCTTTCATTATTGTGATGGGAACAAGTCACAGAGAACTTCCAGCTCACACGATTCCACCATACTGGTGTGGCCGTGTAGAGATCAAAAGTTTCACTTCTGCTTTTGACAAGTTGCAGTTTAGCAGTGCAACCAAATCCTAAACTGTGGTTATTCTTAACTGGTTAATTGAACAAAACAGCTTTGTATCCCATCATTTGAAGTTGGCTTGTTTTGAATAAACCATAATAAATATTAATTGCGGTTTATCAGGTTTGGATGAAATGACAACCTATGGTTAATTTTTTTAAAAAGGAAGTGAACAGCTCAAATTTCTTCCTCATAGTCTTGCCAGAGGCAGATCTGGGAGTATGTAACCCCAAGACTTGTTGCAGCTCATTCCCATCACAATAAATCATGGTTTATTATCACATCTGACCGAGCTCACTATTTTGCTCTATTGCTTTAATTAAAAGATATTACTAAATTACCACTTTCAGATTGTCATTATTTCACAGGTGGGATGCAACTGCATATTGGCAAAATCAGGTTGTACACTTAAAGTGGATTTGGCACTTTTGCTCAACAAACATGCTGCTTTTTTTTTTAAAGGATTTTGTGGCAATGAAAGTGATGGGGAAATGCACAAGGAAGTGTGGGATAACCATTGCTTGATAGGATGTTGTCTGCAATCTCCATGCATACAAATCAGAATGAATGTTCAATAAACAGGTCATCTGGAAGCAACCTATGTTGCTTTGTTATGTCTATATGACAGAAACTATTCTTACTCCAAATTTCCTTGTTACCTGAAGTTGCTGTCATTCCCCATCCCCACCCCCCCACCCCGCAGCTCTCTGTCTAGCTATTGCTATATGTCAGCTGTACCATGTAACAATATACATTTCAGAACTTACGGTTCAGCTTCAATGCTCTGGTCAGGAGCCACATAGTTGGCAGGGATGTAACCTTGCCGCTTCTGTCCATGCTTAGCAGACCCGTTCTCCACAAGCAGCTTCGCAAACCACCAGCTCCCTTGAGATTTATCCAGCACTTCAAGCTTATCTCCAGTTCGGAAGCTCAGATCTTCCTCTGTACGGGCTTGGTAATCAAACAGGGCCACATATTTGCAAGTCTGCTTTGATGGATGAAGAGGCGGTGGGTCTGGGATGTGTATACAGATGGTGTCCTGGGAGTCTGGCCTCACATTCGAATTGACGGTAGTTGGGTTAGACTTATCCTCAGTCGCACAATTGAAAAGCCAAGGCATATAGGGCTCCAGACAAGCACAATATTTCCGACAGCAGTTCCCCATTCTGTCCCCTTCTTGCTTGTGGCCTGTATTCCTTCAGTCCCCTTCTTCCTATCCTGAAGCATTCAAGCTCCCTTCACACCCATTTTTTCCATTCAGCGTCATTTCAGAAATAGTCCCAGGACTCCTTCCTCTAGTACAAAAGGCAAACGATTTCACTGGACATGTCCTCTTCTCTGCTTCTCCCCCTCCAAGTCTTCTTCACCATAAGAGTTTCCTCCTTGCCTTCCAGCTCCACGCTCAGGAGTGAAATCTGAGCACTGAAGTGCAATTGTTCATGTCAGGGGAATTTTTTCACTTCCTCTTCTGATCGGTCAGAAAGACCTGAATCCTCACGTTAGGGGCCAAAAAATCTTGTAGCAACAGAACAGGTAAACAGAGCTTCCAGCTGAACTTCCCTATCTTTGCACCTCCTCGTTCCCTTTATTCTCTTTAAATGTACTCTGGCAGTAGGGAGGCTCTGCACACATTGTAGCTCCTGGTAATGAATAACCAACCTAACTTGCCTTGTTGCTTTAATATGCTGAGTTGCTTGTGGACAAACTATTTTTTGTATGCACTTCCTGGTTTGCTCTTTTTCCCTTCTGTCTCGGTCACTGTGTGTGTGTTGCTGTCCCTCAAACACATACACCACTCTCTCCTCATCTGATGATCATTTTATTGCACAATGAATTTGCACTTTTTTATTTCATATTCACAAAGAAACCAGAAGTCTTTCCCAGATGGCCAGGCCACATTGTGAAATGCCTTCCCTGCTGAGGTGCAACCACCTCCCCCATTCTTAACATTCAGGAAGAAATTTAAAACATTCCTGATTACGTGGCAGTGGGTGGAAGATATCACCCACAGCCACCTTGAAATTATCAGACATGAAGGAATTTGATCATTTTTCAATGCTTTTAGAAATTCTTAATTTTTAAAACTGTTCTGGATGTTTGGAAATTTGTTTTTATAATTGTATTGTTTTAGGTGTTGGCACCCTGGGCTCCTTTGGGAGGATGGTTGGGATATAAATTTAATTAATAAGTAAAATACAGGCCCATCTGTGTTGCAACCTCAGAACTAATAATTTTAAATAAATACTGTAATAACATGCTTTGTTCATCTTCTTCTTCCTACAGGGTTGTTATAAGAATAAGATGGTGCAAGAGCACCATAAAGAAAAAGAGGTATATACATGTTACAAATAATAAAATTCTTTAGATCTGAAGAAAACAAATCTAATTTTTTGAGGACGGGGAGTTTCCACAAAATTCTAGAATATCCAGACCTAACTGCTTGATTTATTTAGCAGTACTTGCAGCTACGTGGTGATGCATTGGCTTATGTTTTCATTTTAGTCATCTAACTCTGAATTTAAGAACCAAACAGTGATTTGCTGACTTGGGTTAGCAACCCTGAAGGGAAGTGGAGAGTGGTTCACCCAGTCTATCTGCATTTTATACATAACCAATCATCACAGCAAAGCAATATCCTCAATAGTAATTTAGTCACATTTCTCAGATAAACACAGAGTATGCAGTAATGCGTACACAGTCTGCCTCCACTGCCCTCCCACAATGCAGAGCTATCATGCAGTTTCTTGAGAAACTTGTTTGATGCATTCCCCCTCAAACCAGCTTCAATCCACAAGGAAAACATAGGCCACTTCACAGTTAAGCGGAGGTGTGTGCATTTGAGACAGCCATTGCACATGCGCAGATGATAGCTTCATGAACAGACGTTGAAGAGCAACTGCAGGGTCAATTCTATGATCTATGATTCTATGTCATCTCCCACCTTCAACCACAAATCCACAGACCACAGGAATGAAGTTCACATTCCACAGTTTGGGATCCCCTGGGCTAGCTAATAACAGTAGATTGCGCATCCATGGCCTATCTTATATCAACAGGAGTCATATATTGTAGAAGTTGTAGAATGACGCTTAAAGAGGAATGACGCTTAAAGAGGCTTTTTAATGTTGTGTGTAAAACTCATCTAGGAAGAGTCTCCCAGCAAATTAATTAAGGTTATTTGCTTCCCTGAGTGGTGCCAAGTTTTGAGGGAAACTTATGCTTGGGGATAAAATTGTGAAGGGATATAATTTCAACTTTGCTGCTGACAACTTTATGGCCCTGAAGCAATTTAATGTTGTCCAGTTTGTGTGTGTGTCCCCATCCTGAGATTCTGTGGAATGAATGGCAGTCTGAAGTACAATCTATCAGTATTTTGCTTTATTAAAAATTATATAATCATAGCATGGGGAAGGATATCTGAAGCAGGCAGCAAAATGTCTGAACCTGTATAAGATTTCCAGAGAGCATCAGCTTGAATTTCTCTACCCTGACTGCTAGCTGAACGGTGCCACTTTTCAGGGATAGAAGAATGAGTTTTCCAGACATCAAGGAACATTATTTGTAGAAATGCAGTCACTCATTAGTTACTAAAGGTAATACTCTCAGTAATGAGGGAGTAGCAACTCCTAGCAATTCACCCTCCCATTCCAGATTAAAGAAACTCTGTACTGTATCATGTTTTGTTCTTGCCTGCTTAGCCTCTTTGAACTCATTTCTACTACTCTTATTAACATCATGACCAAATATGATAAGCCCTCCTTTCTGGGGCTTGTACTGTAAACAAATATTCTGAGATTAATGGCAGTGCTCACTAGCAATACAGTTTGCTTGAAAATAATATACATTGATAAAATGCCAGGATTTAATATATATTCAGGAGACTGTTCCAGTGCCAATATACACGGATGGTAAGCTCCGATCCAATGAGCAAACACATTTTATATCCCTTCCTTTATACAAATTATTTGATTGCCAATGCAAAAAAGAAGCTCTAATTCTAACTTTTTTTTCAGCGCTAAAAGCTGTTCACTTATCTTTCTCTTAATCAGACCCAGACCATTCATAGGAACGCATTAGACAGAATAACAATAGGTTGGGTGGAATTTTCAAGAACAGTGTGGTAAGGCTAAAACGGGCTGCAATTCCATAAATGTTTTGCAACATTTGCCACACACTTGCTCTCCCCAAAGGTCTGGCTTTCAGAAGATAATAATGTGTCAAAAGTGTGTATAGTGTAAATACAGGTGTATACAATAACATATAGAACTTTCTTGAATAATTCTGCACATATCCACCACCATAATAACATTTTCTTAAGCAGTGGGATTACCACTACGATATGTGACTAGGTCTTTTCTCTCCAAAATAAAAGTCAAAGTGGCTAAAATAAATAAATTTCAGTAAACTGAAAATAAGTAAAACTAAAATAAAGTGTAGATGGGGCCTTAGTTGGATACAATCTATAAAAACCTGGCAGCACAAAAAGTCCACAAACTAACGAACTTACCTCCCTCAGCACAGTGACACTGAAATGCACCCATCAGCCTCCAAACCTGCCAAAAAGTGGTCCCCTCTCTACACTCCTTGATGCACCTAAGTCAGTTGGGGAATCTAAAGCAGGGCCACCAAAGTTGTTCAGAGCATTGAGAGGAGATGGTTCTAAACAGTGCTTTTTTTCTAGAAAAAGAGGTGCCAGAACTCACCATGAACATCTCCCTCTTTCGCTTAGAATGGCAATGGTGCCCACTTGAGGCCTGGAACCCACCTGAGAGGTTCTGGAACTGAGTTCCTGTGAGTTCTCTCTGAAAAAGCCCTGGTTCTAAATGTACCCAGTCCTTAAAAAAAAAACCCTCAAGGCTTCAAAAGCACCAACCAACACTCTGAATTGTGCTCACAAATAGTTGCCTATGAAAGCTAGAAAGGACCAGATAAATATGTTGTGTCCTGCCATCCCGTTGATGTTTCTGATTATTTTCAAGGACAGCACCATAGGAAACACAAATTCTTGAAGCATATTCGGGGTTAGTCACATGGAATGGTGCCTCAGTTTGTGAAAGAGGTTGGCCTAGCAATAGCTGCTGCTAAATTCCTTAATATAAATTGGTGCAGAAGCTGGTTTAACTTAGCAGTGGCAAATATCAAGTATTGTGGAATCCTGCAATTTTTCTAAGTCAGACCATTGGTCCATCTATCTCAGTATCTTCAACACTTAACTAGGAGTAGCTCCCCAGGATTTCAGACAGGTTTTTCCCCCCTCAGTTGCACCTGAAGTTGCTGGCGGTTGAACCTGGAACTCTTTGCATGCAAAACCTGTCCTCTGCCACTGAGTTGCAACCAATTGCCAGTGTGGTCTTTGGTCAGTAACTTAGCATATTTGAATGAGAAGGGAATTAGGCAGGCAGGACAGGAAGAAGGGCCATTTGTCTTGGCAAAGGATTCTGGAGGCATAGTTTTAGCAATCTAGGGAATGTGGAGTTGTGAGCGACAGGTAGGTGTGCTCACAACTTGAGAAGGTGTGAGTTGACACTGGAGGGCAGTGCTAGTACCAAAACAGATTGTCCTCCACTCCTGATATGACCTCATGTGTGCATGTTTATTAATAGGTTTTCATCATTACTTTTAAGCCAAGGTTGAAAATGTGTAGGTTCAGCTTAAGCATAAGTGCTGTGTGGATGTGAATCGACTGCTGCGGTTAACAGGATAACAATTGTACAGAAATGTTTAAACTGCTAATGGTTCAACTGCTCAATGTCCCTGCACTGTGCCTCCTGCTGTTAGCATTTTATAAGAATACCAACTTCTAGGAATAATAGCGTTTTAAAGTTGCTTTAAATGCACAGCTTGTAGTCTATTGATGTACATCATTTACACAGAACGTTTTCTGTTGTTAGTGCCATTTTCCCTGATAAAAGCCTGCTGCTACCTCTAATTCCATTAAATCCTGTTCCATTTAACTTACTATCAGCTTAGGCCTTGTTTACTTACACAAAATAATTGTAATGATTAAACACAGCTGTAAAAGACGCGTTTCTCAGCCAAGTAAAGGACAATAATTCCATAAACAAATTAGGAGTTATTTTAACATAGGAAAGACCTTGACTGCAATATTATTTTATGTTTTCTCTTTACTATTTTATTATTTATTTTTACTGGGTAATTAAATCGCAGACTATAGCCGGAACAGTTGGGTTTCAGGAATACAGAACACCTATTATTTGCACATTAATTGGCACCATGCTTTACAATTGTGTTTTGGAAAGTAACAACTAAATGCCTCCCCATGCTACATGTAGGAAATTGCTATTACTTTTTGAAATATCCGTGTATGTGTAGCTCAAAGTACTCATTAATATTAGGTTTACTTAAACAAAATGTTATTCAGGAGACCTATGCACATTTGCTAAATGAATTATGGCCTGCACTACAAATCACTTAAGCTAGTGTATTTGCACATGCAAATCAAACCAATTTGCTTAAATCTGCCTGAATCAAATCTGCCTGAATCAAATCTGCCTGAATCAAAGCATTGCATCTTAAGCCAGTTGTTTTTGTATGAATTTTTTTTTGGGGGGGAGGGGGAATTTAATTTGCATCTTAAAGTA